TTTTTTCAAAGATTATCTGTCTTATGTTCTACTTCCAGGATATAGTGAAAGTTATAAATATTTTTTTAAAAGCTGCAGCTTTAATATTATCATGGTAACAGAAGTGGTTTTATGCTTCTCACTCCCAATAAGGTATGCAATCACAGTGAAAGCTAAATGTTTTATTAAAAGCATTAAACATGCAAGACATAAAACGTTAGTTGCCATTCTTTCACGCCATGTAACTGACATTTTATGACACACACCTCATCAATGTTCCCCTTGATCTCCTCAGTCCTGCCTGCAAAGAAGAGGAATATTGCTCCCTGCAAAGAAGAGAAAATATACAATTTAAAACAATAGATTTCAGCCTCCTGTGTTGCTCAATATTACACACTGTGTTAAGATGTCATATATCGACAAGTACGGTAATTACTCTTGGCAGTGTTTAACCAAGATTTCCATTTTGGGTTGGTACACATTGTGTCAGAGCTTTGAGTTTGTTCTCTGGGATGGGCAGGCGTGTAGGTAAAAGGTAGAGTGGACACAGGGAATTTACAAGAATGTGAGTCAGGTAGAGCGTGAGGAATGATAGCACAAAGGACGGTGTAAGGGTTCAGGCTGCGGAGGGGACGGCGTGAGTGGAAGGTGGGGTGAGTATCAGATGGAGATTATCAGGGTGGGGAGGACTAAGTGTGTGTGATTGAGAGAAAAGAAAAAAAAATGTGAGTGGAAGGAGGGATTTGTGAGAAAGCCCTGATGTACAACGAGACGTGTAAAAATAGAAAGATAAGAAGAACAATGACGTGAAGAAGTTTAAGTGGCAGTCAAAGAAAAGAGAACACAAGTTTGAATGAGGAACTGGCTAGAGATAAGGAGGGATCTACTCATTTTTCTAAATGCTGCACTACAAACATTACGAACCAGGTCGAGTTAATTGGCAGTAAAGGATAATTCTGCTTCATCACAACTTGGATATTATAAATTTGTAATTTCTACCAATTATGACTTCAAACTAACTGCTGCAGTGGGGGGAAACAGTGACATCACTAACACAAAGTGGGGCAAGAAAAGGATCAGTGCTGGTGATAAAAACCAACTGTATGCGAGCATAACAGTAGTTTAAAGTTGTACCAGGACGTCACCCTGTCTTCTTTTTTGCTAAAAAAGTGAGATAAAAACTGCATGGGATTAGCATAAAGTGGGCATGTCTGCAAGAGGGAGACTCTGGGTACCCATTTTGAAGGTTGAGGTGGTGAAAATGGCCACACCAGTTTTTCCATCATTTGAGCGTTATTTAGCCCCCTTCCCAATGTGCAAGCAGAACAACAACAACCAAAGAAAACTCACACCGGTAACAGAAAATAAGTTCACACTGTTGCTTCAGACGGTACTGACGATTCTGGCAATAGCTTCCACCATTTTGAATTCTCTGCTCTAAATAACATTCCCTCAGAAGGCCAGCAGTGTCAAGATGGATTGCTATTGGTCAACAGCGCAAACTGGTACAGTTCACCAAGGTTGCAGCAAAATGTTTCCGTTTTAAATGCTGGTTGCAAGATTTTGCCAGCTGCTGTACTGTTACAAACAAACACCCAATTCACCACTGCTTACATTTTCACCTAAAAATATATTGTTGTGATGAACAATTTGTCGAGAAGATACATTTCTTAGTTATTTTCTAAACAGATGATGCTCATTGCCACTCACCCGTGGGTAGCGGAGCAGGAAAGGTTTCAGCAGACTTTCAGCCTCAGCCACCTCTCCCTCACCTGTCCCTGAGAGGATAGAACAGATATGATAGGATTAATGATACAGAAACTTTCCTAGAAGTGAATAATGTGTGGAATTTAGTTATACACAGAAATCAGAATCATCTGAATCTCAGATGCATGGACGATGCATGGACGATGTACAGCACTACCTAGTATGAACGTGAGAAAGGTATAGTAGCAGAGCAGCAGCAGAGCGCACAGCATGGAGCGCAGATTCATCCCTGTTGCACCATCGCGCAGCAGGGACAGACCGTATTCCTAAAACAGGACCACACGTAGAAAAAGTCAGTTGGCAAAAGTCAGTGAGAGCATAACAGAGTAAATGTATATATCACACCTTGTCTCCGGAGAAGCCTGCAAACTCCAAAACTTTGAGTATCCGTGGAGGAAATAGAGACAGTGTCTGTAAATAAAGAGGACTGGATGAAATGTCTGGTACAGACACATGAGAACCCACAACATATAGTCAAGCGATAGTGTTTAAAGATACATTTGTGACGTACCAGATTAAATGCCCCTATTCCAAATGATACTCCTCCCTCTAAGTGAACGTGGCTGGGTCCCTTGAGACAGTTGTGAGATTTTATGAGGGAATGCAGGTCTCTGGATGATAAAAGACATTTATGTCAATTGTATAACATCACAGCTCAGCATAATAACCAAATACTGTATAACGTTATGACATTTGACTGTGCAAAGAGGTACTCCAGCGATGTAATGTTGCACTTCCACAAAGTTAGGAAACTTGTGAGATACAGATTTTAAAAGAAGAATGATCGCCAAGATATCCCCACTTTTGGTCCCTTGTATGCATCAAGCTCTAAAAACACTTAAAAAACACCCATAATGCAACTCAATAGCATCTTGTTTGAGTCTCCAAATCCAAACTGAGATAACCCTGAAGACATCACTATGACATCATCAGGGTTATTTTTTTGGAAAGTTCCCTTCAAAACCAGTGCTGTGCAAAGACAAACTTTGTTGAGTCCAAGACAACTCCAAGACCAGGACTAGTCGAGACCGAGTCAAATCCGAGTCCAAAAAGGTTCTAGTCCAAATGAGAGAGGCAAGACCGGCACAGAAAAAAAACAGTGCTTTTGCCAATGCCAATAAGATGGGTTTTGGCAGCCAGGCATACGATTGCAAGTCATATTGGTTGGTAACCATGGTTACCAGATGGCTAATGTCAATGCCCATTCAAGATGGATTTTGAATTAAACCAATACCTGTTTTCTGAACAAGCACACTTCATCGATGGTTATTACTGGACTCGGCCAAGACCAGCTAGGAATATTTGGCAAGACCAATGGCCAAGTCCAAGACAGGTCTGAGTGCAAATACCAACAAGTCCAAGACAATATTTAACAGTTGCTGCAAGTTTGGACATTAAATAGTTAGATAATGTATACACCCTTATTACTCATTAACATTACACATCACTGACATCCCCCAAATGTCCAACCTGTTTTTCTTTCATTACTTACTTGTAAATCAGGTAACTGTTTCGTACTTTGATCCCTCCTTTGATAAAACTCACCATGTTCTCATCCTGCAAAATAAATAAATGAGTGAGAATAAAAGTTGAATGCAGTCATTTGAAAAGCTCGGATTAGATTTTAGTAGTTTTTAAGTACCACAAATGCAAGATAACATAAGTGGAATTTGCCGTCATGCAAGTAAGTTCATTGGGCACCTTCTAAATCTTAGACAGTCTTGAAAACTTAGATAATGTGGAAACTTTGTACATTGTTGCTATTATTATTATTATTATGATCATCTCATTACTATTATATGTCAGGTCAGTTGTTTCTTGTTTAAAAAAAGCAGATAAGCCTACTGCACCTGTAGGAAGGTAAGAGCAGCTCTTTGGAGTTGGCACTCTGCATAACACACTTCAGCATGAAGCTGCACTGCAAAAACACATCCACACACACACACATTAGGTAATAAATAACATACAGTGATATTAGTCAACAAGCAGTCAAGCATAAAATCCAGTCCCAGGTGTTACTATGTGGTTGATCTTACAGACTTGTCTTCCACTCTTTTTGTCTTCTACCTGACTATAATGAATTTGATGAATAGATTTAAGTGTATAATGGGCCTTTAACGGAACTTGCACACACATTTGCAAAAGCGCATCTTTCATCTGCTAAATTTGGCATCACTGTGGTGAAATTGATTGGCTGCTACCTCATCAGTTGCTCATACGAAACAATATGGAAAGAATACGCACTCATCCCTGGTGTCCCCCAGGAATTAGTGCAAAGACCACTCCTCTTCATTTTCCCTTTTCTAGCATTTCGCACCATTACTATTTATACGATACATACAAAATAAATTACATTCCCATCACCCTCAGCTGTACTTTGAGTTGAGTTCTAATTGGTAATGTTAGCATGCTAACACACTAAACTAAGATGGTCTCAGCATCTAATGTTAGCATTAATGTTAGCATATAGCCACCTAATGTTAGCACTGAGCATGTTAGCATGCTGCTGAGACTACCTTAAACACAGAGCGGCTGTCTCTATGGATACTGAATGTCAGTGGAAAAAATGTAAGTCTGTTGACAATACCAGTGCAATTACCACTGACCTTTTCAGATACTGTAGGTTAAACAAATTAACTATCAAACTCCATTTGTGTTAGATATATGACATTTGGACACACTCCTTTTGGGTGGATTTATAATGTAGTGAGACATCCAAGCCTTTTACCTTCAGTGAGTGATTCCCCTACTGACTTGTTAGACAAACTTGCGGATTTCCGTCGAAACCTGTAACCCCAAACATATTCCAGTGTCAACAAAAGAGCAGGACATAGTTTTACTATTCTTGCCAACCACATCTTTCTCACACAGCAATCACCCACCAATTACATGTGTCCTTTTCTTTGCTATCTTAACAGCGGCTTCTCTCATGCAAACACAGTCAAATTACTAGTATGGTCAGAAATAGGCCATGTAAATGCACTCATGTAAATTTCATGTCAGGTGTTTTAAAACAGTAGTTCTCAAACTTTTTTCATTAATGTACCACCTTTGAAATATTTTAATTCCCCCCTGACCAGTGCAAGACATTTTTGGTAGATAAATAAAATCCTGTATAAAGAGGTACAGTACAGCACAACCTTGTAACTGAACACTTAAATGCTACATTTGAAATGTTTAGAATCCATCACTAAATTAATGGCAAACCAGTTTCTGTTGTCATGCAATAACACTAAGATGGCATTGAAGTTGCATTGAACTGCGCCTTTTTGATAAGCTGCACTTTTGCGCATTTGTTACACAGTTTAATGAGAAACAGCTGCAGTGATCTTCTCCAGAGGTTTTATGGCAGTTGACAGTTTGCAGCAGTTAACGATTGCATTGATAAATGGGAACAATGAATATAAAATGTGGTTTATTGAACTGAATAACATGGTGATCCCCTGACTTTTAATTTAGCACCATCCTCAGTTCCATCATCAGTATTGACCAGATACCTACAAAACAAATGACATTCCCATCACCCTTAGCTGTACTTTGAGTTAAGTGCTAAATGGCAAACATTAGCAAGCTAACACACTAAACTAAGATGCCGAACATGTACTCCCTGCAGTAATCCAAAGTACCCCTAGGAGCATGTGTACCCCCATTTGAGAAACATATATATATATATATATATAAAAAAATATCCACACATATACATTCACATGTACATCCTGACCTCTGGCAGACTTCCTGGGCACTCTTCATGGTATTTCCTGCGTTGCTGATGTCATCGTGCTGGAAAGTCATCATGGCCTGCATTTCCAGCACCGTGGCATAGATAAGAGCATGGTACATACTCTCATTCACTCTACATAGGAAACATCACACAGCAAACTGTAAGCAAACAGAGGAGGATAGCATTTTCCTGTTGAGAAAAGAACATTACGGTTCTCTTTACTCTTTTCTATCTCCTCTACCGTCCCAGTTTGTCTTGTGCATAGTGTTTATTTTGCAGGGCAGCCTTCTGTTGGCTGTTGAATCAGTCAGACCTTGGGCGTCAGCTTCAGCAAACACCTCATATCCTGGAGAACTGAAGCCTACGGGGGCCACCCTTGTGTCTTGACTGACAGGAAGTGCACTACTTCACAGTTGACACCACAGAAGGCCAAATACTGCTGATATCATACTGCTACGAAAGTGCTAAAACACACAGTGTGCAGCACATGACAAACTGAAACTCAGACAGCAACAGCTGGTTAAAACCTCTGGGAGTGTTTTGTTACCTTGGCCGCAGCCTCTCCAGGCTCTCGCTGAAGTGGTTGTTAAGGAAGAGATCCAAGGCCTCCATACACTCATCCAGACACTCCTTCAGGGTCATCTGTGAGGAGCTGCCACACAAACATGGACACAGCAAATGCAAATAAACTAAACTGTGACTGAGAGCTGTGTTTTTAGCAAAGTCAACAGCAGCGCAGTTAGACAGTGACAGGCGAACAGGATCCAGTCCAGGTCCCCAGCAAACATGAGTTTACATTAGTAAGGTAAGTCTTTCCACTAGATGCAACTGGAGCATCATCACACAACACACCGCAGCATCTGTGTACTCAACAGGATCCTAAAGAAGTGTTGTCAGTGTCAAGCTGTTTTATTTATCAACATCCTGCTGTAGTCTTTGGTTGCTTACTGTCTGAAAAACATGCAAAACTATACGGACTGGTGCAGCCACCCCCACCCCGACTGGAATTCCTCTGGCTCTATTATATGACAACTGCTTGACAAAGAGTGTTGGGCGGAAAACAAGGAAACCAGGACTAAACCTGTTTATTAGCGTTTCCTGCTGCACGTGAGGGTGAATTGTTGTTGTTTTTATTTATTTTATGAGCAGGTTTTACCATTCGTCGAGCTAAACAGGATCTCACCGGCTGACCAATAATGCGAAGAAACAAGTCAAACTGTGTGAATGAATCCTGTACTCACTGTTGTGCAGCATTTGCGCCTTTCCCATTGGACATGTTCGGCGTGCCCCAACACCTGTTAGAGCTCAGCAGTACGCGCAAAAGTCACGACGCATTCACCGCTGGGACCGTGGGACCGTGGGACCAGGCAGTAGCGCAGGAGTTGGCGTCAGTCTACAAAGTTCTTCCTGTTGGTTAAATCCACATAAAGTGCTCCGAGGTAATGGCATGCGTTCACCTGAGGATCCAGCAGTCTGACGGAGCGCGGCGGAGGCGCACCTGACTCCTCCTCTCTGACATCACTGCCACGCACACTTTACACAGTGTTAATCACAGGGTCAGGTGCGAGCAGCCCCGCAGCCCTCGTGCTCGTCCGGACACAATTCAGGGGCGGATCTAAAGAAATGATCATGGGGTGTCCAGAGGGTGGCATGGAGACTTTAAGGGTTGACAGAAATATCTGCTGATTTAATCACAGTCACATATATCAATATCTGCTTGGAAAAGCTCCCAAATGAAGATATTTGAACTCACAAACATTATTGTGGCACATTAATAAACCACTGAATAGAAACATATAAAGGTGACATTAGAAATCAATACACTGTTTTATTTCCAAAACATCTTATTTTGTTTTATTTTTCCAAATACATGTCTTTTTTTTCATTGAATTTAAAGCAGTGGTTCCCAACCTTTTTCATGAAGGGACTCCTTTTCTATCATTGACTAGACTTATGACTCTTGATATTTTTAGGAACTTCTTTATACAATTCTTGATCTGTATTATGTATTTTCTTTATTTTTAGCAATTATATATAAATATAAACTTCATATTTTTAAAGTTTTCTTAGACCCCTTAAAATCAAGAAGGCTTTTTGACTCCCAGTAAAACTTAAAAATCGTAAAATCCCCAGGTTGGGAACCACTGACTTAAAGGACCAGTGTGCAGGATTCAGTGGCATCTAGCTGTAAAGTTGCAGATTACAATTAAGTGACACAGTTCACATCTGTATTTGATATCCTGGCAATGAGAAGAGGCTGTGAAGTTTGTAGGAGAAACTACAGTGACATGCAAAACTCAAAGGGCCCTATTTACTGTCAGTGTTTGGTTTGTCTATTCTGGGCTACTGTAGAAACATGACGGGTCAAAATGGCATACTCCATGGAAAGCGACATGTAGATAAAAATGGTTCATTACAGGAAACAAAAAAACATTTCCTATGCAGGTGATGATATATTTATGAAAACATACCTATGAATATTATATTCCTTTTCTGATAATAGATCCTCCTCATTGTTACACGATGGACCTTTAAGCAGTCTAAAATGTGGCCATAACAGACCAATAAAGGACCAGTGTGTATGATTTTGTGTGAATCTTTACTCAAGGGGACTGAGAGACAAAATATTAAGTATTACTTTACCCAAGGAGGCACAAACAATTAGATAGTTTGTTATTAAAGGAGTCATATTATGCCC